GGCGAGGCTCCCCCACCGCTGCCCTTCGCGCCCGAGTTTCTTCGGCTCTCGCGTGCTCCTCTTTAGCATCTTTCCTTCTTTGCGTGCATAACTGTTTTGTTTTTGTTTTTCTTTTCTTCCTCCTTCTCCTGGCGTTGTTGGCTGCAGCTCAGATACTTGGGTTCTCCAGGTGAATTCCTAGGCTGGAGGCTCAGACTTACTCGGGTGGGAGGAATGTTTGCTGTTGCTTTTCCAGCTTTGTGTGTTCTTGCTGAGGCTTACCTTTGCTACTGCTCCTCTCTTGTGAGGCTGAAGAGGTGGAGGTTGGTATTTGGAGCTCTCGGTACCCCCGAGTTATTTACTGAGTCTCACAGGCACCAGGAACGGTAGGCAGTAGCGTGGGGCTGTTTCCTAGGTAAGGCCCCATGGACTACTTTAATAAATGAGTCAATAGCCTTAATGCCCCTATGCTGGCTTTTATTGTGCTCAGAGAGCAACTTGAAGTTGGATGAGGTACACTGAATTAGATTAAATGAAGTAACTTTGAAGATAGTGCAGTACTTAAGATTTGAGGAGGTGATTTATTTGTGGCAGAGGTTAGTTTGAGTTAAGCGGCTGAAACTTTGTTGTAACATAGATAAGCCTGTGCTGGTGCTCCAGGCTGAGGGGAGGTGACAGCCGACCTCAGCTGGCAACAGCTGGTACCAAACCCCTGAGTAGCCTCAGGCAGAGGGACTCATTGGCCAAACAAACCCCAGGCTGGTGGCCAGGGGGGTGGGCGGTGAAAGTGAGGAATAAACTCTAGCTTTGCTACAGGAGTCTCGGCATCCCCTTGTCCCAGAAGCCTAACTGGCTGCACCAAGTTAGCAGCATCACTTCTCCTGCTCCTGGCTGCTCTCCAAATAACGCAGGCTGCACCCAGAGGATGGCTGGGAGTGCGGGGGAGCCCGCGGGAGCCAGCACGGGGGGTCCGCGCTCACGAGCAGGCTGGGCACACGCAGCTGCCAGGTTTGCCCTGGGCTGCTTGTGCGTGCGTCGCTCCCCCCCCTGCCGCTGGCAGGGTCACAGGTAGGGAGCCCTGGGGTGCCCAGGTCACCTCGTGGGCTCGTCCTCCCGACCCCACCGGACGCCTTTCCTCCCACTGCCGCCTGTCCTTCTTATGTGGTTTCCTTCCTCGAAATGGTGACCTCAATTGCTCAGAGGAAGCAACACCCAGCGTTACATAAATGGCTGAGGATGAGCGCGAGTGCTTTGGGAAGGGCAATGGCAGGGAGGGCAAGGCTCGAGCGACAGCCTCGACAGGGGAAACTGGAGCCCGTTCTCACTAGGTCGCTGGTTCTAATCTGGCCTGGATCGGCACGGCTGGAGTCGTGGGGCTATCTGGCGACAGCCTGGCAGCTTGTCGGCCGTGTGCTCCCTTCCCTGCCCTCCTGCACGCACGCTCCTCCCCAGGCTTTGGAGGAGCCTGCCAGATCTGTGACTCCAAACCAGGAGGGTTTTCCAGCCACCTTATTTGGCCACATAAACGTAGAGAGAGAGAGAGAGAAGAGTGGCTTGGAAGGTGTAAATGGCTGCAGTGGGACCCCTGTGCCCTCTCCTAGGGGTGACAGGAGCCCCTTCTCCGCTGCCTCTACCCTGCTGCTGCATGCCTGCGTCCCTGTGCCAGCCGGGAGGCGCTTGGAGGTAGCTTTGCTGGTAGTTTTGATCTCTTTCCTCTGAGTAAGGCTGTGCTGTGGGTTACTCTCGGCTCCTCACCTGCAAGCGATGGGCCCAAGAGGGCTCCCATGCCAGTTGTCTCAGCTCCTGGGGCACTGAGCTTCACGGTTATTTTGGAGGGCCAGCGCATGCCCCTGCGCAGAGGAGGGAAGGGTGCCAGGCGTGCTGAGCCAGTCCATGGGCTGCAAAGGACTTCGGCTAAATGTCTTTTCAGGTGCTCTTCCTGGGAGAGGAGAGGAGGGGAAGTCATAGTCCCCTGAGCCCTACGCGTCCTCTTTAGGGTGGGCACGATGTGCCTGGCCCTGCAGGCCATGACTGGGGGGAACAGGGGCTGAGGCTGTGCCCCTGCCCTGCTCACCCTAAGGCAGCAGCGTCGCTTTGCTGTCCGGCTCGTTGCACCCTGGGCTGCCCTACAGCAGTGGCTTTTGGAGGTTTTCTCTGCAGGTTCTTCCCGCTCCTTTTAACGTGAGGATGAGCCAAGTCCTGCCAGGACTAAATATAGTCAAAGTATTTGTTCTTCGGCGTGGATACAAAAGCTGTCGCGATGGAGTGTTTCAACAGCGCTGGGAAGTAAATAGCCTTTGAAGCCTGACTCTGCTGTTCCCCCTTGCAGGTACCGGGTTTCCCGTGCCGTCCTCCTGCCCGGGCCTCTGCCGTGGAGACCGCTGCCAGGAGCGGAGGCTCCCCAGCGTGGCTGGCGGGGTTGCCGGAACGAGGGGGCTAATAAGAACCAGAGAGAGGGAGGATCTATAACTTCCAGATGGCGAGGAGCCCGTAATCCCTTTGGGAAGAATTAGAGACTCATCCGCACAGCACAGCCTGGCGAGGGAAACAAAACATGACACCTCTGTCTCCGGGAGCTTTGCACAGGTTCAGCTGAGAGGCCAAAGTCGTCCCGATGCAAACTCTCCTGACTCCTGTGCCCTGAGCCGCCTCGCTTTGTCTCGTGGGGCCCGGCTGCTGCCGGGAGTCAGTCCCTGTGCGCCGAACTATTTCTCGTTTTAATTGATTGCATGTTCTTTAACGAAACTCCATCCGGGTCTCGCTCCTCCTGAAGTGGAAAGTGACTTCTTTGTCACTGTCAGCAGAGAGACAACTTCTTTTTTTATGTCCCGTGGGATTGTAAAGCATCTTTCTTGCTGGATTTCACCTCCTGTCCGAGTGTGTTTTGAGGAATTACAGGCCTATTCCCATGGCTATATAAACCACAGGGTTCTGTGGACTTCTTCCTCCCACACCGCTGTCGCCCCGACTTGTCCATGATGGGGCGAGAGCAGGAGCTGATCCAGGCAGTGAAAAATGGGGATGTACCTGGTGTGCAGAAACTGGTGGCCAAGATCAAAGCGTCCAAGAGCAGTAAGTACCTCAGCGCAGAGACGCAGGCTCTCTCGCCGCGTCCCGTCTGTCCTGCTATGTGTTTCTGCCCTTCGCACCTTGCTGCGTGTCCTGGGACGTGAGTCCTGGCACCGGGCTCCCGCGCGGGGATTGTTCTGTGTCCAAGCCGGGGGTGTGAATACTGGCTCTGAACTCCAGTGTACGAATTACGTCGTGGCTGGAGGGGGGAGTGCGAATCCAGCCCTTGCCGATGAATGGCTGAGCTGTAAATGATCCTCCCAGCAGGGCTCAAGTTCCCTTTGGGCTCCAGGCCCCAAAGTATGGGACACCGAGCGGGGAAGGGCAAAAGGAAATCACAGCAGGGGAGAAAGCGATGCCATTTGGGGGATGCTGCTACAAAGAGTCTTTAGCGATTGCCACTCACTCCTGGCCATATTTATCTTGTGAAAAATTATCAGCCAAGCCAGTCAACTGGAACCAATTGTCAAGCCTTGGGTTTCAGTCTGGTAATGTTTAACCCTTCAGCAGAGCTGTTCTCTTTCATGTGCTCTCTGAAAGGTCAGCTGCAAGCATGAGTTGGAATGAATTTCAGGCTCGGTCTGTGCTGAATGTTTTGATGGGCCGGGCTGCGAGATGGGGGAAAGGCTCCCTGTCGCTCTGGCAAAGGCGTCGCGTGGAACTGGTGGTGCTGGCAGCGGGCAGGGGGAGTTGCTCACTGTTCAGGATCCCAAAGGGCGGCGAGGTGTCGTAGGCGCCGCAAACTTTCTGCAGGAATTGGGGAGGGAGGATGCAAAGGTGGAGGAGCAGGTTGTGGCTGGGTTAGCGTGCACGGGAGCCAAGCACAAGCGTGAAGGAGCATACCCGGTGCCCTGAGCACGGTCCCACCTCCGCAGGGAAGGCAGCAGGGACTGCAGGTGCCAGTGGAAAGGCCGCGGTTAGGAGCACGGCAGCCCCGCACGGTCGTACAGAGATCTTCCTAGACCCCTAGCAGCATTGCATGGCCGGTGGGTGAGTTCCTGGTTAGGAAAGCCCGGTCACTCCTGGCTCTGGAGAGAGAGGAGGAGACTAGAAGAAGTAAATGAAAGGGCGCTTGCCAGCAGCACGTGACAGGAGGAAGCCGCACCGATCCTGCCTGGGCCGTGGGGCTGCGGGCAGGGGATGCCAAGGAGCCGCGCTGGGGAAGGTGAGACCTAACGAACCCCTTTCGCATGCGCCGTTTGCAGCCCGAAGGAAGCGTGATTTCAGCTGGGTGCGGGGGCCGAGAGAGGGAAGTTAGCACAGGCAAAACAGATCTAGGACTGCCTCCCTAGTGAAAGGTGTTTATAAAAACTAACTGAAGATCCCCTTCTCCCCCCCATCGCTTGGCAGCCCTGCGAGCAGCGAAGGCAGGGCAGGGGCAGCAGCCGCGCGGGGGAGGCCCAGCCGTGCTGCGGGGCGCTCGGCCGCAGGCCACCCGCGCGGTGACTGCGGCACCCCCTTGTCAAAGCTGCGTGTTGGTGGGGAGTCTGCTGGGTGCGCAGGAGAAACGGAGGGGAAAAACCTCCCCGGGGAGGGAGAAGGGAAAATCAGGCAGGAAAAGAAGCATTAAGACTTACTAGGAGCAGCTCAGGGTAGTGAGCCTTGTGCTGAGAAACGTAAGTTAGGCTGAAGATTACGAACGTGAGAAGAGGCTAAACTCCCTTGGGTCAGCTACTGGAAAGCTTTGACTGGGGCCAAAGCTCTGTGCATCCCGATTGCTGGGCCTGTGGGAGGGCTGGACACAGCTGTGGTGCAGCGGGAGGGCTGGGCTGCTGCCTGCTCCCACCGAGCACGTGCTGAGTCCGGCTTGCTGAGTCCGGCTTGCGGGAAAAGCGGATGCCTGGTGGCCCTGCCTCCCTCCCTGAATTGAGGGACCAAGAGCATTTGCTACACTTGCTGCTCAGGGACCGCTCCAGTATGAGGAGCCGCATCCCAAGCGGGACACTGGGTGCAGGGCTGCTCGCTCTCGGGAACGAGCAAGGTCCCGGCGCTGGAGGGAGATGAGTTTGTGTTTGCAGGGGGCTTGGAGGACACCGCCAAGGCAGTAGTGTCAGGATGCGAGCAAACCCGTGAGCAGATACGGACGCAGTCCTGTTCCTGGACTCACGTGCTGGGGCCGAACTCCCTGGGGTCTAATGAGCTGGTGCGGACAGGCTCAGCGCATCGGCCTGCATGCCAGGAGGGGTGAAATTACACTTGTTTCCTCTGGTCCATCTCTGAAAACTTTTCTCCTAGTTACACCCCGTCTATGTCTTCACTCTGGCGTTCCCCCTTCCCGTGGCCGTGGGGCACCCCGTGAACGTGTGCGGGCAGCTCCCGCAGTGCAACGGCGTCAGCAGGTCCCTCGCGCTGGCAGGAGCGCTCTGATTATTTTCACTTTATTCCTTTGTAAGGAGGGGAGCAGAGCCCAAACCCCTGCGAGGCCGCTGCTGCAAAAACCTTTGCAGGGCTCGCACAGGCCACGCTCGCTGTGCGGGGTTTAACCAGCCCCAGCGGGGCTCGGCCCCTCCGCGGAGGGCAGCGCTGCTCCCTATCCCTTACGCTTTCCTCTCCCTCCTCTTGCCGAGATGCCATGTGAGCAGAGCGTTTGCTGCATTTGCTGCTCATTAAAGCGCCTTTTCCATACGACAGGCAGAGATGCTGATTTTTAAAATCCCTCTAAGAGTCCTTCTGCTGTCTCAGTGGATTCGGAGCTCCGTCTCTGTGATTAGCCCTCCGGGACTTCCTGTGCCTAAAAAAGTCACTGCACGTAAGCAAGAATCAAGCGCCAGTCCCAGCAGCGGGAACTTCAGGGACGCGTTGTTTAATATTCACCGTGCAGAGCCCTCGTCCGCGCACAAGCGCTGCCGTACAAATGGGTCACAGCACCTATTATTGTAGGGCTGCCGGGTGGGCAGGGAGAAAGTTTTGGGGGCAGGGGCGGGAGGGGAAGGGCAGGCGAGGGTTGGCGTCTCTCCTGCGGGAAGGGGACGTCAGGACGCTGCCGCGGTCACTTATGCAAGCGGTGTGGGGGGCGCGCGCGCCGGTCCCCCCAGCCCCAGCCGAGCCTTGGCTGAGGTTTCCCCTGAGCAGCAGTAGAAATGTCCCTCTTTTTAATTTCCTTCTCTCGCTTTCTGTCCCCTCCCCTCTGCGTCTGAGCGCTGCAGAGTTTAATTGAAATTGTTAAACGACCCGTCACGGCTTTGGCCTTTCTCCCTGGCGATCAATCACTTCCCTGGCTGGCCGCGCTTGCTAACAATGAGCCCGTTGGCTGGGCCAGGGTGGACGTGGTAGCCCTGGAGGGGCGAAAGATAGAAAAGCCGTGAGCCGAGAGAGATTCCTGGGGGAGGCTGGAGGCAGAGGGACGGGGCCCTCATCCCCGGGAAAGGGTGAGGGCTGGCCGGGGAGGAGCGGACCCGCCTGGCCCGTGAGAACAGGCTCCGGCGGCCCCCCCGGCCGCGGGGCGCCGGCGGGCCCCCCTGCCGAGTGCCCAGATACCCGGCAAGGTTTGTGCGTCCCCCGTCCTGGCTGATTGCGGCAGCTGCTAGGTAGACGTTTTTGGCGAAGGGACGTGCGTTGGGGACGCTCGAGAGGGTGCAGAGGGGTGTTTTGTTGGAGGAAGGAGCTCGGACACCCCAGCGATATCCAGGCCTCGATGTGTTGTGGAAGAAAACAGGAGCTGGGCTCACTGTTTGCCTTCCCCGAGGGAGTGGTGAAGCTTTTTGTTTAAATGTGCATGAAGTGCAAAGAAAGGGTGACAGCTGAGCAAACTCCTGTTAAACTTTCAAGGACAGAGAGCGAAGTCTGCCCTGCTGGGATTTGAACTGGTGTCTCTGGGAAATCTGGCTGTTTTCGATCTGCCGCTTACCCCCTATTTTGCTGTCAGTGTGTCTCGCGGTGGCTTTGGGGGCTCCCAGGCCTTGGATATATTGAGGGAATCTCTCTAGGAGGCAGAACGTGGGTGCCGCTTGCCCAGGGATGCGGATCTGGCCGGGCTCTGGGCCCTGATGCGCCGAGTTGTTCAACGCCAGCAAAGTCCCTGGGGGGCTCTTGGCTTTATTCTGCGACCCTGCGCCTGGGTCGGGACCCCTCATCGCGGTGTCCTGGCAGCACAGGGAGCGGTAAGGTTTTCCAGAGAGCCTTCTTCCTTCCCACAGGCCTCTTCCTTTCCAGTTCGACGTGGTTGCAGGCCTAGGACACTGCTGTTGCTGCTCTGGCCGCTTGGAGCTTGCTGCGCAGGCTCCCCGTGCTGTGGTGGACGGGCACAAGAAACCCACGGGAGGCAGATGCAGGACAATTCGCCTTCCCCCACTTAAATTTCCTCCTAATCCCTAGTAGCTGCATAAGCTTAAGCCCCGAAGCGTGAGGTTTAATATCTCTCCCGATATGTGTTAGCTTTTGCCACTAGTGCTCTGCATGCCCCGGTTCTCTGCAGAAATACCATCTGCCCTTTGAATCTAGCAGGGCTTTTTGCTTCTCTCCCGATCTGTCTTGGGTCCTACAGCTAGGTGGAAGAAATTGCCTTTTTTTAGTTTTTCTTGGCTTGGGGTTTATTTTGTGATGCTAAATGCGCCTTTGTCTGCGTGATCTGGGAAGCCGAATGCACCGTCCCTTGTCGTGGCCTGGCCTGAGGGTCTCCTTCGAGGAGAAACGGGCTCCTCTTCACCACTTCCCCGGACGGCGGTTTGTGCCAGGCAAAGGGGTGGCCCAGGACTCGAGGGGGCATCCTGCCGCCTGCGGTGCTGCTGCCGCCAGGCACCACAGCCTGCCAGACCAGGCTCTGCCGCCGAGTCCGTACGCGACCCTGGCCAGGTCCCGTGCAAGGCTGAGTTTCAGGGACGAGTTTCCACGTGTCCTGGATGGGATCTTGTTCCTCCTCTGTGTTTGCTGTAGGTCTGATGTGCTGGACCAGCTGCACAGCTGCATGCGGGCTTACAAACGCACTGCAGACGTGCCCAAGAGACACCTAGAAACTCGGGCCGAAATCATGCAAAAACTCCCTCTTATGCCAAAAGAAACCTGTG